GTACCATATATTTTTCCATTGTAAAAAATGTCAGATAGAATAAATGATACAAATTTATTTTATTTTATACAAGTATTAACATAAAAAATACAACACATGTAATAAAATAATATTTTTCATTAGAGATAAAATAATTACWAAGTTACATAATTACATTAAAATATTAAACAATAGGTAAATTATCATTTATAAGTGTGGACAGTGTAGTTATAATGCATATTTTAATGTAGCATACATTTTTCCATTACCTAAAACACGAGCAATTGTTGGAGTAGGATCAGGTAACTGATTAATATAAAATCCTTCAAGTTCGGAACAGTTTTCATTTTTTGTAATTTCATAGGCATAATAATGCGAGTCAAAACCAATAGTATACAAACGATTAATTACAAAATAAGGAATTTTTGATTTACTGGAAAACATATACATTACTTGCCCAAAAGTACAATCACAAAGATTATAATCTATTACCATGAGCATACCTTTTTTATAAAGTTGTCCTTTATATTGAAGCCAGGAAGCGTTGAAGACAGATGATAAAAACTCATCAGGTAATTTATTCATAAAAGAATAAGGTAACTCTGTTGTGGGAATTGTATTTGTTCCCATTCCTAATTGTAGGTCTTGGTCTAAACCAGATTTTGAAAGCAAGCGACTTACAGTTTGTAATTGAAGTTTAAATGCCAATGTGTGACCGAGATTAATACGACAGGGGACAGAATTAGCGATTGACTTTAATACTTTATGTTTGGCTTCAAACCGTATAGAAGATGTTAATTTTAAAGGACCATTCCTTAGTAAAATACGACCATAATGAGTAAGAAGATGGAACTTTGGTTTAAGAGTTTTATTAGATAATTCCATATATAATCGATTATGTTCAGTAACAAGATAATCTAATAATTTAGAACACTCGGGTTGTAAAGTCCTTGCACAACATAAATCAACAATTTTTTTTAATAAAATATAAAGTTTCCAATTTTTTGAGCTTTTAGGAATCAGTTCACCAACAATGAGACCAAAATTTCTCACTAAACAGAGCATCTCCGAGGCAGACATTATTATTGAGCCATTATTTAAGTGAGATTGATTAATTTTAGGAGGACAATTTTTATTTTCTATTATACCATACTGATAAAGAACAATTCGAGAGTTTAATTGATCAAGAGTAAAATATTTTTCAATTATAAGATTTTGTATAATGATTGCCATGTCATAACGAGCTACACCCTCGGGAATATCATGCATGAAATCACAAGCCATGTTTCGAACCACATGGAAGTTTGGAACTTCGTGAAAGATACAACGTTCGTTTATGCCAGTCTCTGTTACATTTCTTTTATTAACATCCATTTCATAATTATTTTCATTTCGTAAAGACTGAAAAGATTCTCTTAACATTTTCTGTAGTTCTTGTTTTGGACAACGACAAATTCTACAATAATGATTTGCAGAAAAGCATTCGACAAAACCCAAGATAGAGTTTAACCCCAAATTATCTCCTAAGACTAACCCTAGTGCAAAATATATAGTAGTGTAAGCATTGTCCACACATACAGAAATTCCATTTGTTTGAAGATCAATTAGTTCTTTTATAAGGCGAGAAAACATGATTTTATTGGGTACTTTGGTAGTCCCACGATCTGAAGAGTGAAATAAAAATGCTGTAAATATATTATTTAAAGATGACAAATATTCAGGTGGTAAGGCTGCAACAGTATAATATATACACCCTATTTTATGTATGCCAGAATGGGAACCTAATGGGTTTCCCATTTCAGCATCATCATAATATAAAAAAAGAGGTAAAACAATTTTTCCAGAAAACTTTATTTTCATATCTTTCCATGTCGAGCCATCCAAAAAAGAAGTAAGAGTATTGTTGTGCAATGATGAATCATGCATAAATTCAGTTGCAACTTTAAGAACATTGGGGAGCTCAAAAAAGGCTTTAAGATTTTTTTTCATAGAAAGAAAATGACCATGTATAGGTACTGTTAAAAGCTTATCTTCACCATTCACATACCGTTTTTCTTTAATATAACCAACCACCACAGTCTCAGGTTTGAAAAATAAATTATTTGAAATTAAATACTTAATTCGTTGATAGTGAGTTTGTAGTTCAGAAAATGGGTCTTGTAATGAATCAAACATATTTTCTACTTCTATTTTTGTGGAAGAATCGCAATTTAATATAGGAACAACTTTACATTTTAGTTGTTCAATTATACCACTTGAAAACAGCTCTATAACACTTTCTACTACATCTTGTACCAATGAATTAGTAAGGTAAGGCTTTGACATTAATTTTGTAATAAATTGTAATACGTTTCTTTTTAAAATCTCATCGTAAGGAAGTTCGTTTATATTTCTATTTTCACTGTCTAATATTTTTTGTATAGTATGATTATTGATAAGGTCATTTATAATTACAGTTTCCTCAATTAATTCATATGATTCAATATTATTTATTAAGGGTGGACTAATGTCTTCAGAAAATGTAGTAGAAGATTTATTTAATATGTTAGGTGATTCTACTGAAGATTCAAAAATGGTTTCAGTTGTTGTATTATCTAAATTGAGTTCAACTTTTTGATTTACTCTATTATGTAAATGTTCTCTATTTAAATGTTGCCTGAATTTTTTTATACCGCTAAAATCACGTGCACAACCTTGTTGTTTACAAAGATAAAACGAATTATTTCCAAGATTATGGTATATTTTCATATGCCAAATTAACTTTGATATCGAACAGAAATTTTTTAAGCATAAATAACACTTATACATGATGTATTAAAAAAAATAGCAAAACTTTTTAAATAAGAATAAATATTAATTAAGTACAGAGAAAATAATTATTTCAGTTTATATTAGTAATAACTGATACTAAATATACTTAAAAATTATAAAACAAAAATTTACAAAATATGATCATTTTTTA